AAAATCAGAGATCCACCTGCTCTATCTCCTGACTTAATGAGTGCTGGGATTAAAGTTGTGCACCATCACCATGCAGCAAGCAGTTCTTTTTATCATTCATGATCATATGTTTCCATATGAGGCTGAACATTGTCCTTTCAAGTTCTGTGAATAATTGTGTTGGAATTTTGATTCCAACATTGAATCTGTATATTGCTTTTGATAAAACTGATTTTTAATTTACTAATCCTACTAATCCATGGGCATGGGAGATCTTTTCATCTTCTGATGCCTTCCTCAATTTCTTTCTTCAGTGTCTTAAAGTTTTTATTATACAAGTCTTTTACTTTCCTGGTTAGAGTTACATCAATATATCTTATGTTTTTTGAGGCTATTGTGAAAGGTATTGTTTCCCTGATTTCTCTCCCTGTCTATTTTTCTTTTGTATATAGGAAGGCGACTGGGTTCAGGTATCAATTTTGTATCCTGCTACTTTGCTGAAAGTGTTTATTAGCTGTGGGAGTTTGCTGGTGGAAATTATAGGGTCACTTATGTCTACCTTCATTATTACAGCCCATGGAGATCCGCTCCTAGGGCTGAAGGACAGGGCTTAAAGAAAAAGCTGCAGCATAGCGAAACTTATGACTTTTTTTTTTAATCAAAGAGGTATAGGAAGAAACGTACGCACTCTGATGATAATTTTATTTTTGTATTTGTTCTCTTTTCTCACCTAGGCTTCTCTATCTATTTTCTCATGAAGGCTCTCTCTTTGTTCTTACATATATATATATATATATATATATATATATATATATATATATATATATTAAGGTCACATTTCAGTAAACAATATGAAACAGAGTCATCCCGATACATACAAGTAATAAATCTCTCAGCTTCCTAATTGGCAGTAAAGTGTAATTGTAGTTGCAAATAAGAGTCAGTCATTACATTATCTAGCATTTTGTGATTGGCAGAAGTGCTGGGCTTTCTGGAAGTATTTACAGAAAGAGAGCTGTGTCATAAATGCTTTGGTAGGAACTCAGGTTTGCCTTAATTTTTTTAATATGAGCTCACTAGAGCATTATCCAATAATACAGTGACAATAAAAGTGTTTTTAAATCTTGAAATATATTTTCCTATTCTGTGTGTAACTTCTGATTACCTAAGAGCACCTGTAGCCCTTATTAGAGGCTAGAGTCAAGTTATTTTCTGTAGCTTTGACTGGTCAGAATATATTTATACAAACTGAGGTCAGGAATGGGTGCAAGGACTGAATCATTTGCCAGCTAGTAGTAGTTGAGCTGTCCTTGTGTTTACAACCTAGCCAGGAAGTTCAGCTGTGTGACATTGTGATAGCAAGGCACCTGGTCTAATCTAAAGCTCTTTTGAAGCTTTGTGTCACTTCATGATGTGCATGAAGCTTGTAACTGTAATTCTCAGCATAAAGATTAAAGGAATTTAGCCAGTTTGGACTCAACTGTTTTCCTGTGTCAGCCTGAGTTCTGATATAAAACAGTTTTCTAAGTTTCTCACAGTTTTTGTGGAACAAGGGCCTAGCTGTGAAAGTATATTTTATTCACCATAGTTACACAGTATAAGAAGAAATCATCTTCCTGTCAATCCATATAAATAAGTATGCCCAATATATTCTTGAAGAAAACACACTACCAATCCAGGCTGTGGGAAGAATCCCCTATCTTGTTTTAGGAAAAAATTACAGCAGCACATGAGAAAATTACATACAGAAGCAAACAGTATTCAGAGTCCTTGTAGGCCTTGCTTGAAATGAGGTTCCTCCATTAGAGAATTACTCATCTGGTGGGTTGACACCTGAATATCAGCTGTCATCTGCTGTGTATGTCTATGGCCCCTAGCATTTCATATCAACTGCAAATAAAAATACATTTTCTTCCCTTCCTAATTGTGTCCCCTTGACCTCCTTCAGTTGTCTTATTACTCTAGCTAAGACTTCAAGTACTATATTGAATAGGTATAGAGAGAGTGAACAACCTTGTCTTGTGTCTAATTTTAGTGGAAATGCTTTGATTTTCTCTTCACTTATGTTGGTGTTGGCTGTGGATTTGCTGTAAACCGCCTCTTATTTTGAGGTATGTTTCTTATATACTTTCCATATTCTCTATAGGACTTTTATCATGAAGGGGTGTTGGCTTTTGTCACAGGCCTTTTCTGCATTTAATGAGATGATCTTGTGGTTTTTGTCTTTCATTTGGTGGATAACATTTATTGATTTATGTATATTGAACCATCCCTGCTTCTCTGGGATGAAGCCTACTTGATTGTGGTAGATGATCTTTTTAATGGGTTCTTGGTTTCAGTTTGTAAGTATATTACTGTGAACCTTTGCATTTATGTTCATCAAGATAATTAGTCTGTAATTTTCTTTCTTTGTTGGGTCTTTATGTGATTTAGATATCAGGGTAACTATGGCCTAGTTAAAAGAATTGGGCAGTGTCCCCTGTTTCTATTTTGTAGAATAATTTTAGGAATATTGGAGTTAAATCTTCTTTGAAAGTTGACACAATTCCATGCTAAACTATCTGGCCATGATATTTTTTTGGTAGCAGACATTTAATGACTGGTTATATTTCACTAGAGGTGATAGATCTGTTTACATTGCTTATCTGATCTTAATTTAACTTCAGTAAATCATATATACCAATAAAATTATCCATTTCTTTAAAAATTTCCAATTTGGTGAAGTATGGGTTGCTGAAGTATGTCCTTATGAGTCTCTGCATTTCCTTGGTGTCTGTTGTTGTGTCCTCACTTTGTTTTCAATTTTGTTATTTTTGTTCTTTTCTCCCTCACCTTTAATTAATTTAAATAAGGGTTTGTCAGTCTTACTGATTTTCTTAAAGAACCAACTCTATTTCATTGATTTTAAAAATTATACTTTGTCTCTATTTTATTTATTTCATCCCTGAGTTTTATTATTTCTTGTTGTCTACTCTTTTGGGGAGTTATTCCTTCTTTTCATTCTAGAGCTTTCAGGTATATCAAGTCTCTAATATAATACCTCTCTAATTTTGTTTTTAATGTGAGCACTTCATGCTATGAGCTTGCCTCTTAGAACCACCTTCATTATTTCCCATAAGTTTGGGTGTGTTGTGTTGTTTTCATTTTCATTTGATTTTAAAATGATTTTAATTTCTTTTTAAATTTTGCCTTGACCCATTTTTCATTCAGTAGTGAACTGTTCAGTTTCTATGAGTTTGTAAGCTTCCTGTTGTTTCTGCTGTCACTGATATCTAGCTTTAATCCATGGTGTTCAGATAGGATACAGGGTGTTATTTCACCTTTCTTGTATCCGATGAGACTTGATTTGTTTCCTAATAGGTGGTCAATTTTGGAATAAAATTCCATGAGCTACTGAGAAGAAGGTATATATTTTGTGTATGTGTGTTTGGGGAAATGTTCTGTACATGTCTGTTAAGTCCATTCTGTTTAGAACATATTTATCATCAGTATTTTTTTTTTGGTTGTTTAGTTTTGTCTGGATGACCTGTCTATTGGTGAGTGTGAGGTATTGAAGTCTCACACTATTAATGTGTGAGGGTCAATATGTAGAGGCCAAGAAAGGAGGGGCCCCAGTAGGTGGTCTGCTATGAGCTGGGGATAAGATTAGGGGTTGGAATTGGAGGACAAGGGGGAGAGTGAAGATGGCCTGCCTGATTCTCTGGTCAGTGTGGCCGGTGGGTCTCTAGTCAGTCAGAAGTGAATTTATGTATGTTTGTTCTTTCTGTTTCAGAACCTAACTTGAATTCTTAATTAAATTGAACATAGAGAGTATAGAGCTTTCTGGTTCCTCTCTGCTTTTGTTCCATTTTAGTTACAAAGCCAAGATGTTGTCTGCACTGGAGGAGAGTTCAAATCTGTCAGCTGCCTTTGGTCATAACCCACATAAATGATCTTACCAGGTGATGGGTCTCCTGGTAACAGTGGCTACTCTACTGTGACAGGTCAAACCCACAGGAACAAAATCAAGAAGAGGATACTGTCCGTAGTGTTTCTTTGTTTTTCATTTATTGCTTGAGTGGTGTGAACTTTGAAATAGTTACATCCATCTCTGAGAAATGACGGTCATGTTCCTTTATAATTTAGTTTGGGGAAGATATAAATCTAGTAAATGAATATATAAGATTCTTACAAATTAGAACTCTTATATAAGAAACCCCAAAAATAAACAATAAAACCATCATTTCTGTTTGTGAACATGCCATTTGTGTTCCTAATGACACATAGGTGGAACACTGGGGGCAAGGCATATTTTGCAAAATTAAGAACAATTTAATTGCAAAGTTTTCCTGATGATGTAAAAAGTTGCTCCTTGGTAGGGTTTGGGATTCTTGGGTTTTGTGTGTTTGTTTTTGTCAACACTAATTGATCTCTAACTCTCTAATGTAATTAAAGATGACTTTGAATTCCTGATCCCCTTATCTCCATCTACGCTGCTGGGATTGTAGGTGTGCGCCAACATGCCCAGTCTCATGTCAGGCATATTTAAAAATCTTTCGCATTCATACTTGTTTTTCGTTTGTTTGTTTGTTTGTTTTTGAGACAGGGTCTCACAATGCCATCCTGGCAGGCCTGGAATTTGCTGTGTAGACCAGGCTGGCCTCCAACTCACAGAGAAATTCCTGCCTCTGCCTCCCAAGTGCTAGGATTAGAGGTGTGTGCTTTCACACCTGGCCTCCACAGTCACAAGTTTGACAAGCATAAGGTTCTAAAAACAACCATTTAAATATCATGGTAATGAATAATGTAACTCTGTGCAGTAGGCCTCAGGGAAAATCAGATGTGGTAGGGCTTATGAATGAACTAGATGTAAAAGTGAGGCTTAAGTGGATTTTGTGTCCATGATTCTGAGGACAGTGGGTAACGTCCTGACTGCCTTCATTCTGCATCTAGAATGTCCTCCAGCCTCTGTACCTCACGGTAACTGACTTTAATCCAAGAGAAAGAAAATGCCATCCTCAGTTTCTCTTTGTTCCCTGCAGAGAATGAGACTCCCTCTTCAGTTTGGCGCCCTGTGGCCTTGACCCTGCTGACCTTGTGTTTGGTGCTGCTCATCGGCCTGGCAGCCCTGGGCCTTGTGTGTAAGTCTGCTCTGTACTCTATACTGGGGGAGGTTCCTGATTCCTCCATTTGCTCAGGAGGAGAAACTCTTGCTATGAGTTTCTTAAAACCCTAGTTCTGGAGCCTTGTCCTCTTTCTAAAGGCAACTGTTTAAATGGCTGGGAGTTGATGTACTAAAAACCAGCAAGCATTTTTGAGTTAGAAGAAAACATCCTCTTTGAGATAAATATTGTAACTATTTACATGTCAGTATGTAAATCACCACTATGGAGAGCATGCACGGTTTATCTCTCCCCCACCCCACCCCCTGCTCTGGTGGTACAGCTCTGGCATCTGCTATGAGTTTACATGGTGTTGTGGACTGATGCAGGGGAAAGTGTTTTCTGCACACATCCACCCTCTACACAAGGATCAAAAACGTGCTACTATATTTGTTAAAAAGGCTGGGAAACGATACGATTATCTTGAAAAAGAAAAGTGCATGAAAATCAACAAGGCATATTGAATGTGTAAAAACAAACAAGCAAACAAACAAATCCTTTACAATTCAAAATAGCAATGGTGTGTTCCTAGAGCAACTCAGTAGGAATGAATGTATAGCCTCTTCCTGAACTTCTGAAGGTGACCCCAGGTAAAAGCCATATAGCAAAGCAGACAAGGAGGACATACACTGATTTTATTTGAAGCAAAAGTTAAATTTATAAACATACATTTAAGAACCAAAACGAAATTCTGTTCGTTCTCTCTATCCCCAAATATACATCATTCTGATACAGCACTGTTTTGTAATCACCTTTTATTCTTAGGAACATGAAGCAGCTCTCATGACTCATGATGGATTTGTCTAGATTTAGAAAACTGAAGTTCAAACCTCCTGTTGAAATTGTTTAGTTGGGTGACACTAAGGATGTTACTTATCCTCATGAACCCTAACTACAAATCTACAAAAATATGGAAATGAGATCTGACCATTTTAACAATGGAATGAACAATGAATTATGCCACTCTTCCAACATTCAACATATTAAATGTCAATAGAGGAGTAGATTTACAGTTTTAGATTGGTATTAGGTTTGGCTGTGCATAAATACTTGTTGAGCGTAAAATAGTTTAGTATTGGGCTCTTAGTTTCTAAAGTTAAGAACCACTATTATGACTTCACATTTTCCAACAGAGATGAAAATATAAATTTGCCTGAGAGGACACTGTTAACTATGCCACTGGATATGGCAATGTGAGTTCTCAATAATAAGATGTTAAGCTATATGCTTTAGTATCTCCCCCATGTGCAGAAAATAGAAACAGGTAAATGAGCTGTACAGTCTGACTTCATCACATGACTTAGTTTTTCAGTTCTACCAGCTCTCCAATACCCAGCAAGACAGCATCACTGAAAAGGATGAAAGGCTGGGGAACATATCTCGACAACTGCAGTCCCTCCAGATCCAGAACAGGAAACTCATAGAAACCCTGCAGCAGGTAGCTGTGAAACTGTGTCGTGAACTCTACAACAGAAGTGGAGGTGAGCATGCCACTATCTGGATCATGGACATAGTTCTATCTGGACTTGAATTTCCCCATCTGGGTAACTAGAACCATGTATTTTTTAGAAGTACTTTTCCTGCCTTCTCAATAAAAAGTTTGAGCCACATAATCATGATCAGACATTGAATTATAATTGCTTACACACATCTGTGTCACTGTACAGGAAGGGATTCTTCAAATTTCAGCATTTAAAACAAGAAAAGTAGTTAATTTAGAATAACCAAAACAACTCCATCAGCAACTAATACACGAATGTGCCTCACTTACGTCGGCACACGCTAACGCAGCACGATGAAAGTGTTGGGGATGTTCTAAGTACAATTTTCAAATATTTAGACTCATGCAGGGATTAGTTTCAAAATTCAGAGAACTTGAAATAAATCACAGTCATTTTAGTTCACCATGAACTCATCTCTCAGTCAAAAATATGAATCTCACAAGGAACCCAGAGTGATGACAATGACCGTAATGGGCAAGCCAAAACTGCCACTGATGCTGTCAACGTCACTTCAGTGCCCCACCCAGACCCCGCCACTCTCTCTATCTTACTATTCTCCTTTCTTGAAAGTTCCATCCCAGCACACTCTATTCAAGTGAGCCCTCTCCTTTGCCCTCTCCACAAAACAAGCACAGGAAGCAACCTACATTTTGCAGCCCATGTTGGTTTCTCCTTTAGAAACTCTAAAGTACCACAGTTGCATCATCCTCCCTCCCCCAGGCCACTTCTCCTTCTGTAAGCAGACACTGAGTGAATGATTTTCTCAGTAAAGTGTCTCAAGGCACACTTCTCTAAGTGGTTCTTTCCCACATGACTAGTGGCCTCGTTCACCAGAGTTCTCTCTTTTCGGTTTCTCTGCCAGCCCAATGGGCTTTTTTCTTTTTAAGATTCTATATTACCAAAAAGGTAATCCCAGTATCTCTGAAAACAATGGTCCCTGGAATTCTCATCTAGCTTTTAAAAATAAAAGCTATGCAACTATATTGTGTACCCTAATAAAATTTGCCTAAAGATCAGAAAAACAAAGAAACAAACCATCTCTTACCTCTGGGACTTCTCAGCCTGAAAAGCTTTCTAGTCAAAAGGCCTCTAGCCGAAAGGGGTTCCTCAGTTGAAAAGCCTTTAGTTCCTGTCTCCTCAGGCCTTATATACCTTTCTTCACCCAACCATCACTTACTGGGATTAAAGACATGTGTGCTTCCCAGTACTTGGATTAAAGGTGTGTGCCACCACTACCTGGCTCTGTTTTCTCCCCTAGACTGAGTCAATTTCATGTAATCCAGGGTGGCTTGGAACTCACAGAGAGATCCACACGGATCTCTGCCTCCCAAGTTCTAGGATTAAAGTTGTGTGCCAACACTGCCTGGCCTCTATGTTTAATTTAGTGGCTTGTTCTGTTCTCTGATCTTCAGGCAAATTTTATTAAGGTACCAAATATATTACCACAATACTCAATTTAAATATAAGATGATAAGAATGCATCTCCCCTGAAACATGTTCATGTATATATGCTTGCACATATAACATTCACAAGTGCTGTGTCATGGGGAAATTCTTTTTCTTGAACTTCTTAAATTTTGTTTTAGATTTAGTTGTTTTATTTCATGTGCATGCATGTCTGCATGTATGCATATGCACCAGGTGCATGCCTGGTGCTCTTGGGGGGGGGGGTCAAAAAAAAGTATTGGATCTTCTGGAACTGGAGTTACAGGTGGTTCTGGGCCACTGTAAGGGTGCTGAGAATCGAGCCTGGGTCCTCTGAAAGAACAGCCACTGAACCATCACTCTAGCCCCTTACTTTTGTTTTCCCAGTTGTTTAAGTAATGTTAAATTAACACTAAGTCAGATATAACGATGTATGTCTCTTTCAGTGTCTTTAGTTCCATGGTATCACTTCTTGTTTCACACACCACTTTCAGACTTTAGTCTCTCTCTCCTTTCTACATGATTCTCTTCTATGAAATCATTGCTTTCATTTCCATAAATGAGTGAAAACACGTAGTATTAGTTTTTCTGTGCTTGATTCTTTTCACTTAGCACAATGTTATCTAGTTCTGTGAACTTTGATGTAAATGGTCAAACTTTCATTACATTGCAATAGCTTAGTAGTACCTGTTGCATATATGTGCTTTATTTTCTTATCCGGTCATCAGTCCATGGACAATTTGGCTGAGTTCATTTCTTGGCTACTATAAATTGTGCTACAATAATCGTGGGAGTGAAGATATATATTTAATATCATAGTTGCATTTCATTTGGATACATGCATAATAGCCTGATTATAAGATTACATGTTAGTCATAGTCTGAGTTTTTTGAGACATCTCCATATTGTTTTCTATAGTGTCTGTACTAGTTTACATTTTAACCTACAATGTGTAAGAGTTCTCCTCTCTCTGTTTTCTTTCAAATATTTGTTATTTTTCAGTTTTTAATTGATTGTCATTCTAACTCACAGGGATTACATGGTATTCATTGTGTCTTTGATTTGCATTTTTGTGGTGATTAGTGACTGGAGCACAATTTTTAATTGGTCTTATTAATAAAAACTCAGAGTCAGATATCAGGGTGAAAGGTGAAAGAGCACAGAAGCAGAGCAGCTAGCCACTAGAAAGATTTCTTACCTCTAGGAATCCTCAGACTCTAAGGACCTAAGCTCCTGTCTCCTCCCACCTTATTCCTCTCTCTGCCCAGCCATATCACTTCCTGTCTCCACCTTCCTAGCGCTGGGATTAGAGGCATGAGATCCCAAGTGCTGGGATCAAAGGTGTGTGCCACCACTGTCAGGCTCTGTTTATCTTTTAGACTGGATCAATCTTTTATAGCCCAGAGTAGCCTTGAACTTTCAGAGATCCATCTGCCTCTGCTTTCCTAGTTCTGGGATTAAAGGTGTGTGCCACCACTGCCTGGCCTCTATGGCTAACTAGTGGCTTAGCTCTACACTCTGACCTTAAGGCAAGCTTTATTTGTTAGATCACAAACAAAACATCACCACAAGTGATAATGAGCAGCTTTTTATGTACTTGTTACTGTTTGTATGTCTTCCTTGGGGAATGTCTCCTACATCATTTACCCATTTTAATTGGATTATTTGGAGGTTTTATTTTGGGGTTGAGCTCCTGACCTATTCAAAATGTTTTCTTCTATGTGAGTAGATTATGCACATGATCTTCCACTGTGAATGTTGTCTCTTCATGCCATTACTTCCTTTGCTATGAATGTAGAAACATCTTAGCTTTTTGGAATCACATTCATCTACTTTTTCTTTTGTGGTGTAAGTTTTTGAGTTCAAATCCAAAAATCTCTATCAACAGTAATGTCTTGACATGTTTTTCCTGTGTTCCCTTCTAGTAGAGCCACAATTCCCGCTTGTACACTTAAGCCCTTGACCCATTTTCAGTTGATTTCCTTATACGGCAAGAAACATGGGTCTAGCTTATTCTTCGTCATATGAATATCAGTTTTCCCCATAACATACACTAAAGACACTGTTCATTCACTACGCTGTGTTCTTTGAGCCTCTGTTGAAGCTGAGTCGTCTGCATGTATGCAGATTATTTGCTGGATTCTCCACTGTGACCCATTTGACTACTCAGATTTTAGCAGTAGTTTGATACTAAATTGTTCTTAAAACCATGCTGTCCTGGATAGTTTTCTGTTGATTTGACACAAGCTACAGTTATCTAGAGGAAGGGAACCTCAGTTGAGAAAATTTCTCCATAAGATTCAGCTGTAGGGCCTGGAGAGATGGCTCAGCAGTTAAGAGCACTGGCTGCTCTTCCATAGGTCCTGAGTTCAATTTCTTAGCAACCACATGGTAGCTCACAACCATCTGTAATAAGATCTGGCCCCTCTTCTGGCCTGCAAGCATACATGCAGATAGAATACTGTATAGATAATGAATAAAGCTTTTAAAAAAAAAAGATTCAGCTGTAATCTTAATCAGTGATTGTTGGGGGAGGGCCCAGTCCCTGATGGGTGGTGTCTTCCCTAGGCTGATAGACCCAGGTTATATAAAAAAGCAGGCTGAGTAAACCAGGTAGCCGTAGTCCTCCATGGTCTTTTCCTCAGCTCCTACTTCCAGGTTCTTTCCCTTCTTAAGTTGCTACCCTCACTGCTCTTGATGATGAACTGTTACATGGAACTGAGTGAAATACACCCTTTACTCCCCAACTTACTTTTTGGTCATGGTGTTTCATCACAACAATAGAAACCCCATCTAAGGTACATGCCAAGCATGGTAGTATGAGCCAGCAATCCCAGCTACTGAGGCAAGAAGATCACAAATTCAAAGCTATACAGGGCTATAAATTGAGCTGAAGGCTAGCCTGAATCACTAAGTAAGTCCTGGTCTTAAAACAAAAGGTTAGAAAACATGGTATATGGCTCAGTATGTAGCCTAGAGTAAACAGTGTTCAAATCTCCATCACCTCCAAAATAAAATAGTGATGCAACCATGGATATTATTAAATGGCCACTCTAACACACACACACACACACACACACACACACACACACACACACACACACACACAACAACTTAGATGCATGTTCCTGACTCTCAGAAGATAAAGTTCAGACATCTACACCATGATATTCATGGTACTACTACTCATACATGTAACAAGTACCCACATATCCCATCTTACTCTCAACTTACTTAATTGTTTGGCTTGCAAGTGTCCATCCCCCAACACATACACATGCACACACACACACACACACACACACACACACACACACACACACACTGTACAGAAAGAGTACAAGGAACCCACACCTGAGAATATCAACTGGAAAAGAGGAAAGACCTGTTTAGCTTCCAGCTTCAGATTTTTTTTATTAAGAATTTTTATATTCATTTTACATATCAATCACAGATTCCCCCTCTTTCCTCCTCCTGCCCCTCCAGCCTTCCTCCTCCACCCACTCCCCATTCCCTCCTACAAGAAGGTAAGGCCTCCCATGGGGAGTCAGCAGAGCCTGGTAGAGGCAGGTCCAAGCCCCTCCCCCTGCCTCAAGGCTGTTTGAGGTGTCCCACCATAGGTAGTGGGCTCCAAAAAGCCAGCTCATGCACCAGGGATAGATCCTGATCCAACTGCTAGGGGCTCCTCAAGCAGATCAAGCTATACAACTGTCTTGATTATGCAGAGGGCCTAGTCCAGTCCCACGGCAGCAACAAAGGCCACTGCAGGACAGCTTACATCGTGCATGCAATCTTGAAGCAGAGAAAAGGGCATACACAAAAAGTGATATGTATATCATACAGACCCAAGAACATGCCCCAGTGACTGATTTCTAGCTTAACCCCTATATTCACCACCTCCTACTAAAGTCATCATATTTAGAACTAATCAAGGAATCAGTCCATCAATGGTATCAAAGCCCTCAGGATCCAATCACATCACCAAGCTCACCAGCTCAAAACTATGTACCCAGTGCTTATGAGACTACGGGAGGAAATTCATATTCAAACCATTGCAAAATCATATGAGCCACCTTATGAAGGAATATTCTGTCTACATTCTGCATGGCATAAGCAAGGAAATTTCAGTCATTTGTCACCAGATTCAGTATTCTGCATCAGCACTATCTGTTTTAATTTTCACTGAATGTTCAACACCGACTATAGATCATTCCTGGTGGGGAGTGGGTGGATAGCACAGGTGTTCCCTCAAGTATCTAAGAGATGTAAATTAGGTTTTGGACTATCAAACACTGTTTATTTCCAAAAGAGGAAATACAGCAGATTCAGGTAGAAGATAACTAACCAAAGTGTGTTTGTTTGTTTCCTTTCAAGGACACAGATGCAGTCCTTGCCCAGAAAAATGGAAGTGGCATGGGGACAAATGCTACCAGTTCTATAAAGAGAGTAAAAACTGGCAAGGCTGTGAATACTTCTGCCTGGCTGAAAATGCCACCATGCTGAAGATAAGCACACAAGAAGAACTGGTAAGTTCCTGAGCCTTGGTATTTGAAGGAGTTTCCCAAAAGAACAGGGCAAGAACACTGTAAAGAGTCAAGTTTCCAACCCATGGATTTCCATACTTGCTCACAGTGAAACGCAAGTCATACTCCAGTTGCTCCAAATGATCCGTGAAATGGATAAAAACTGTGTTCTCCCCCAATACCTACCACACATAAATATAAGAAATAGTTCAACTACCCCTTCAGTCAATGGGCAGGTAGAACATGTCCAAATTTACCTGTCTGAGATGGGGTAGACAGAGAATAATGGTGTGATCTAAGAAAAGTGATACTATTATGGCCTGTCTTTCTGTTATAAACCTTAAAAAGCTTTTAATTGAAAATAGTCTGACAATTATTGTAGTAAACTGCACACACACACACACACACACACACACACACACACACACACACACACACACACAGGGCTGGCCAAGGCAAATACAAGAATAATCAACACATATTTATGTGTCTCTGGAAACTCATTGACCAACAGCTTAAAAAGATGTGACACAAATCTGGAACTGAGATTTTTTTTGAGTGCTGGGGATTGAATTCAGGCCTCATGAATGCAAGGCAGACAGTCTAGCACTAAGCAACATTCCAAGACTTGTTGATACTTGGCTTTTTGTTTGATAGCCTACGGAGTCTGGGGGAGGCACTGCTCCCATTATAGGGAACTCCATTTAAACCATTTTATATATGGGCATGTATGTATTTTAATAAGATTCTAGAGTAGTAGGTTTGTACATAGAATTTTCAAAGGTTATTAATGTTATTTTGTCCATCCCATACTTCCTCTTCTACCCTGCCCTCCCACTTGCAACCCATTTAGCCCTTCCTGTTCCATTTCGCTCCTTCATATGACTTGCATTCTACTTCCTTTTTCTTGAAAACTCCCTATAGACTCTTACTAGATTCTTGCCTTCTCTGAGTAACCCAATTTAAACACACATAAAAACTCAAAACTAATGTTCAGATATGAAATGAAGTATATAATGCTTATTTTTACAGTGAATATTGGAAATGGAATTGTCATATATTAGTATGTATATTATATGGTATATTATATGTATATGAAAATGTACATTTTTCTCTTCTTTCTGGTGTGAGATTCATGTCATCCTTCTAAGTCCCCTTTACTTCTTTTTACATTTAAGTATCTCCATAACTGTGTTCTCATTTATAGAAATTACTTCTCCAGTTTTTTACTAACAATTTTTTCCATTTTCTAGAATAATTTCACTTATTTTATAAATATTTCTCTCACTTGTTTTTATTCTGTTTTAATTCATTAATCATTAGTAATGACAATAACATCTGTTTCATTAATTAATTAAAACTAAATTATTGTTGGAGACAGAGATTGAACACAGAGCTCAATGCAAACGAGGCAAGCACTCTACCAACTGAGCCATATTTCAGGCCTCTGATTTATTTTTACCTCTGTCTCCCTGTATCTCCTTCTGTGTCTGTGTCTCTGTCTCTCTGTTCCTGTATATATATATATATATATATATTATATCCCTCACTTATTTTTTAAGATAAGGTCTCACTTTGTACCCCTGGTTATCTTGGAGTGGCTATGTAGAGCAGGCTGGCCTCAAACTCATAGAGATTCACTTGCCTCTGCTTCCTGAGTGTTGGAATTAAAGGCGTGCACTACCACACTCAGTTTCTCTAATCTTTTATATCAATTTTATGTTTAATCTTATACATTAAGAATAATTGGTAAAGTATTGGTCGACATGACTCCTGTTTTCATAATATCAATGTATATTCCACGCTTATTAACACAAAGCATGTGTCTCTTACTTACTGGACAAATTTCTAAAGGGCTTCATTTCCTCTTGAGTCTATTGTCATGTGTGTGTGAGAGAGGATCACCTATCAGGTCTCCATGTTACTCTTCTAGAAGCTATGCTAATCCCACACATCCTTGTACCCCTGGTTGAAGCATCTCCAAGCTAAAGGTTTTCTTGTGTGCCTTTCACAGGATTTTGCCATGCCTCAGAGCTACTCTGAGTTTTTCTACTCTTATTGGACAGGGCTCTCCCGCAATGGCAGTGGCAAAGCCTGGCTGTGGACAGATGGGACATCTTACTCCTTTGAACTGTAAGCCTTCAGAACATTCTGTGGGAGAGGTATTTAATAAAGACAGATTAGCAGTGTGACTCAGCAGTAATTATAGAGCATCTATTTCATCCTGCATAGTATGCTTGCAGGGCAGTGCCCAGAGGGGCTTGTGTTGCAATGGCTTAGAAAAGTGGTGGGCTAGAGAGAGAGGGTTATCAAATATCAGCAGGTGGGTTTCCTGACTGATTTCAGCAGTGAGTACCTAGGAACTGTTTTTCTGGGAAGCAAGGTAATAAAGGTAGAGAGAAGAAAAGGGAAAAATGATCTCTTTTGGATGAATAATTAAAGAGAAACCTTGGAGACTCAGATGTAATAGTGATCATCCAGGATCATACAGTCTGTCAAGAGCCGGGGGTAGGCTACGGCCTCAGAGAGTTCTTGGATCTCCGCACTGTGTCATGTAAATAAAAACATTTTATTTACCACAGAAGCATTTAGAGAGGGCATGCATGGAATTCCATGATACTAATAAATGTAATTTCTTTATGAAAGTTTATTACATTCAAAGCTCTGTTAAAGCGTATTTTATTCTCTGTGTATGGTAGAACAGGACATAGTAACATAATCATTTGTATTTTTTTTTTTTTTTTTTTTTTTTGGTTTTTCGAGACAGGGTTTCTCTGTGTAGCTTTGTGCCTTTCCTGGAACTCACTTGGTAGCCCAGGCTGGCCTCGAACTCACAGAGATCCGCCTGGCTCTGCCTCCCGAGTGCTGGGATTAAAGGCGTGCGCCACCACTGCCCGGCTCATTTGTATTTTTAATTAAGTAAACTGAGCACTAGAAAAGGTAGATAACTTTAAAATAACAGTAAAATCAGAGTGCCTGTTGCTTTATTTTAGAACAGTTTTGCAGTTTTGAGTGGTCAGTTACTTCTAAGAATGAGGTGGTGACTGAGGAGCTGAAAATTGTGTTCATTGACCCCATCTTTCCAACAAAGACATCCTAGGAATATAGATATGATCTTTGTCACTGAGGGAATGCTTTTTTGTTGCCTCTGAAGGTGTCATTTAAGAAATAAACTCTAAACTCTAAATAAAATTTAATTAAAGAATTATTAAGTTATTTTCTTTTTCTTTCTTAAGGTTTGAAATTATAATAGATCCCACCAACCTAAGAAACAGAGACTGTATGACCATCTTCAATGGAAAGGCTTACTCCAAGGACTGCAAAGAGCTGAGGAGGTGTGCCTGTGAGAAGACGGCAGGGAGAGTGGTACCCGAGGTGCTCCAGTAGGTGCCATGAAACATTGAGCAGAGGGGGCCAATAGGTCAGCTTCAACCACCAGCAAAAGGACTGAGTCAAGTGAGGTCAACGCAGAGGACATTCACAGCTTTGAAAAACTGAGAGGCAGCTGTTGGGACTGGTACTTGAGAGACTGTCCTGGTTCTGACTCAGCATCACCCATACCTGAGCTCCAGTTCTTGCACACATTTACCAGTTACAAAGATTCTTACTCATGAACCACCAACTAGCCTCAGTAAGCTAGAGAGTTGTCCTCCTTGATTTACGGAAGTCTTTCAGCTTTCTCCCTTCTCAGTATCTGTTTTCACCCTCTTTTTCATGTCTTTCTTACACTAGGAAAAGAGATGCCTAAGAAAATAGAGGTGTTGATATGAAACCACTTATTGTGTGTGGTGGAATCCACACAAGTATTGGTGCCTTCCAATTCTCAGCACTTGGAAGGTAAAGGCAAGACATGAAAGTTTAAGGCCACCCTCAGCTACATAGCACATTGGAGGCCATCCTAGGCTGTATGAGAACCTCTTCTCAAACAGAAAGAAGGGACAAAAGAACCAGAGAGAAAAAGAGAAAAAAAAAGGAGAAAAGCAAAGCAAAACAGAGAACAGAAGAAAAGGAAGTGAGACCCTTTGTCCTAACAGCAGTCCAAGAGAAACTAGCAGATGTCCCACTCCTGTGCTGCTTTAAACACAGCTGATTCTTTCTGTTTCCAGTTCACACTTTGCCTTTCCCAGGCTCTCAACAATGACTTTGCCTGCTACACTGCTGGCCAGCTTTCCAACTGAGATGGAAATTGTGTCAATCTCCACTCCATCAATTGTGTCTTTCTTCTAATCATGTCTCCTGGAAAAGAGATGATCTCAACTCTGACCTAAGTTAGAATTGCTGTCCCTGTACTCCAACAAGGAGACTGGAGTAGAGAGAAAAAAAATTAGTTTCTTTACATGCACAGATAATAGTTTGATTACTTCCTCCATCACGTTTATACCTTTCAGGTACTAAAGTTTTAATAATAATAACTGTGATGAGTGTGAAATGGGTGTGGTTTCAGAATGGATTTGTGATTTGGGGGAATATCAGCAAGGGAATGTTTTTCACACTATGTTAACAGAACTGTTTGACTACTTATGACTTGACAATTGGTGGAGCCACTCTGAGGATATTGTTTATGGGGTATTTGAGATTAAGAAAGTGTACAAAGCAAATTGTCTTCCAGAGGGGGCTTTATGATATTCCTAAAATGAAATGATTGGGATAGAATCATGACATCAAGGTTGGTATGTTGAGTAACCAAGGTGTGATAGACCACATGACTGATTTCTGAACAAGCTTCGGAGGAGAAAGAGAGGCTGTGATGTCTACATAGTCAGACTCTTGACTAGACATGTGTTTCTCTGGGTGATGACATTCAAAACTATAACAGGGGTCATTGTGAACAGCACCATGTCAACTGGCTTCATTGGTTATAGATAAACCAACACCATGGGACTGACAGCACCAGTATAAGACTTTATACTCTTACTTTTCAACAGTGAAAACTGGGAAACATTTGTTTCATGGTGAAATTATATTAACTTAGCCCTTTTGTGATGAGAACAATTCTGCACTTATTTTCATAAGACTTAATTTGACGATGGTTACTTATCGAAACATTACTGGCAAGCTACTTAAGTTTTCTTTTAGATTTCCTTCTAACTAGCTAGGGGATTTCTTCAATGATGAATGAATTCTATGCAGGTTTACTGTGTCAAGCACATAGAAGTGCATTTGTGGTTTTGAAATTTAAGTCTCTCTTGGTTTGATTTATTTATTGAGCAAATCGCATCACTTCATGTAGCTTATTAAAAAGTGGAAATATTTTTAATTTCCCTATGATGTTACTTAAAATGTAGTAAGTATGAAGTTACTCTCATAATGTGGGTTGTAATAGAAAATGTAAGGGGAATTAAGAAAATATTTTAAAGGGTTTAATGATTCTTATTTAAATATAGGGGACACAAATGCAGCATCTGTATTCATTAAAGAGAAAAACTATTCTCAAATATTTCCCAAAATTAAAATGTTGACTGTTTTCCTGGCTCAGTTAAAGTGACTAATACAATAACCTACAAAATAAGAAATAAAGATCAAGGCCATCATTAAGCAATTGTTGTCTAAACCTACTACAGAAGGAAACGGCAGTCAGCAAGAGAAAGTCAAAAACTTTGTGGACTTAATTGTAAACAAGGGCCATGACTCTCATTTAAATTTTGACTCCTAGCATTCTGGGCTCCTGGAGGGAAGACAGCTGTCTCTCTAACTACCATTGATTGGAAGAATCTAGCTATCTAGAGGATGAATAGCGTTCTCATTTGCAACCTGAGATCTCAAGCAAAGTGTCCTTTCCGTTGGAAAAAGAGAAAAATTGTGCTTTTAAAATTTGTTTTCTTTTCTTGATCTTATTCTTCATCATTGACCTTAGTCCCCCTTTCTGTATCCAAGCCTGATAATATCAATAACATCACAAACAAACGTTTCAAAAGATGAGGAAGGGGGGTTATGGTACAATATTGCCTTCACTATCATTTAAGACATAAGAATCAATCATAAAATGAATTTTAAGGTAAGGCTTGCTGATAATCAAAAATGGAAACCACATGAACTGGCTTTCTCAGGATAAGAAGACATTTTTCTAGTCTCTTACTGTGTAGGTAATTGTAAAGAAAATGCAGGAAAAGTCAAACGGGAACATGGCCTTTCCCATAGAGTGAGCTCCCTCGGGTACACAATGAGCTATTTCTTTTCCTGAGGATATTGAACACTCTCAGGACTTATCAGCAGGAAACAGGTCAGGAGCCCAGTGACAGCAGGAAGTTTGAGAAGGGTAATGGGCAGCTTTTACTTGGGGAATACAAACAGATTACAAACTATGTACAAGGGTCGAGTGGGTGTCCTGGGGCCAGCCTTGGTGTTTGGGAGTCAAGGGCAGTTGTTGGAAGACACACAAAATGTACTGTGTGACTTAAGATACACAAAACTCACTGTATGAACAGATCTTTAGACTCTAACAACAAATTTATTATTATATCAATATTATTATTTCAGTATTTTATTGGTGCATTTAGTGTGCACTACTATGCAGCACTGTTTCCAATTGCAGAGGAATTGTTTTTTTCCCTTTTTAAAAGTTCACTCAGTGAGATGGATTAAAAGTACCTAATCATCATTGGTAGCATTGGGACAGGAAACCGGTCCTCTTATGGCTAATTACCATTAAAAAGGACAGGTATCCTGGATCACTAGCAACCCGCCCTAAGAATTTCCCAAGCCCTGCATCTGTGTAGTGCAGCACGGCTGCCTGGGACATTGTAGACTCCTGGGTCAGCTGCACTGTAGATAAATCTCTGGCTTGTAAATACAGCATCATACATACACAAGCTGGATAACATCAGCCGGAGGATGTTTGCATTCAGTTTCCTTGTACTTTTTTGAGAAGAATCATCAATGCTTCCCATCCTTTCTCTAAACATAGCCTGATGACAAGCCTTTGAAGAATCTCAGAGACAAACAGTCTTTACTGTTAAAAATCACCATTGTTTCTCTGCTTTCCAGATTAGTATATTTAGCTACCAGCTGCCAGCTGTGGAAACCAAACAGCCTACAACTTCCACGGTCTGTGGGCTGTTTGTCCTCCCAGGATCAGCAGGAAGCTAGAGACATTTCTATGTCGTGTGTGTGTGTGTGTGTGTGTGTGTGTGTGTGTGTGTGTGTGTGTGTGATGCTCCCACCCTTTAAAGCCATGTCAAGGTAAATAAACAGAAACTAGAAAAACAAGACAAAGACATGATCTTCTCATTGCTAGACGACCATAGCCACCAAGAAATGAACTTCAGGATAAAGGATGCTTAGTTTTATTTAAATAATTCCTGCTTGCTCAGTAAATTGTGTTTTTTAAATTATTTATCTAAGTTATGCCATTTTAATAAGAAGGAAAGGATGAAAATCTTGTACCTCTCAGAGTCTTATCAGAATGAAAGATTAAATACAACAATATTGAAATTAGTGACTATTTATTGAGAGCATGCTATATAGTAAGATTTAGAGATGGCACATGGTAGACATAGAATATGATAATAATTAGTAAATTTTTCCTTCTTATAGATGGCAAGTATTTTCACTTCAACTTTTCTACCAAAAATATCATGTAACATTAGGATTGTATTCTTAAGCAGTATTTTGAAGTGAATTATATTATGATTTTATAGTGGGAAAGTTGAGGCACGGAGACAGGCAGTTGAAAGTGCTCCGGTTTTAATCTTGGCCTTGCAGACTATGAGCTGTTTGATTGGTGAGTGGTGGGATGGACAGTCCCACCTCCACCGGAGGACATGCTGATGCTGATGTCCTGACTATTCCTTCACCTATGTGAAGTTCTAAGGGTTCCTTTCCCAGTAGAACTCTACAGTCTGAAAAGCACAGTCCAACACTACAGATAGAAGAAGCCTCCTTTTCTTCTGAGACAGATCAGATGGATTCAATGACTCTACAGCGTTGGGGCAGGAGTTAAATCCTGTTAAACATGTTAATTGTTTGGAAGTACTGTTAAGTGCTATTAGAATGGTCATATATTGAGGTTTTATTAAGTCTTTATTGTAAACAGGCTTTAAAGGTCTGTGAATGATTCAAGCTATCAGCCAAGCAGCCTCTTTTCTAACAGCTGGCCAGATTGCCCTGATGGCAGTAGAGTTGTTTGGGCAGTTTACTCTGAAGACCACCACCTCATGGCTGGAACAGCCTGTGGAAAGCAGCACTCTTTGGCAAACTGTAGATGGCCAGGCCTATCCTGCAGCTATTCACACTCAGGCCAGAGAGGGAGCACTCCCAACCTGTGGCCCCAGGGAAGACCTGTGAATATGGAAAGAAGAGTCTGTGCTGTGATTGGTGCAAACACAGTCCTTGGAGGGCTGCCATGACTTATGTGGACACCTTCACCACACCCTCTTTTTGTCTATTAAGTGGGCTGTTTGGTTCAGTTTTAGAGTCAGCCAGGAGACCCCTCACCCTCCTCTGATACTCCTAATGTTGCAACATTAGGAACAATAGACGACTTCCTGAATGGTCCTTTCTCGACTCCTTTGCTCTTTATCATTGAAAGAGTGAGCTGAGCTGGTAACAGAAGAAGCTGCAGAAGTACAGGATGGTAGCAAGGGCAGAGGCAGCACCAGAAGCAGTTACTGCTCTGGTGGTGACAGCAGTCACCATCACCATGGCAGTAGAGAGTGACCAGAGAACAGCTGAAGAATTCCAGAGAGTGGCCAAGGCAGAGAGGATGGGCAGCGGAAGCAGAGAGACACCGAGGAATAGTGGACATAGAAACAGTAAGGGAAAAGGCAGAAAAGCAAGGCCGAGTAAAGACACCAGAGAAGAGATGCAGTGGGCTCAGGGAACAGCCGTCCAAGAACCATAATACTGGTGGGAGATGCCTGCTGTTACTTACTGCTATCTGCTGCTGGTGTTGAAGGTCAAGGCTTTCAAAAGCTGCCAAGAGCTGTGTCCCAGGGGTGATTAAACCCCAGAGAAATAAGCCTCCAGCCCTCCAGCACATCCAGATCCTAGAGCAATAGACCCAAGCTCCTAGGGTTAGGAACTGAAAGCCGCTATATCTGTGAGGTCAGCCCCTAGGCCTTTGGCATCAGAGGAGGATTACCAGCACTGGAGGTCCCCATCCTGCTCATTTTTTTTATTTATTTATTTTTATTTTGCAATACAATTCAGTTCTACATATCAGCCACGGATTCCCTTGTTCTCCCCCTCCCGCCCCCCTTCACCTTCCCCCCAGCCCACCCCCGATTCCCACCTCCTCCAGGGCAAAGCCTCCCCCACCGACTGAGATCAACCTGGTAGACTCAGTCCAGGTAGGTCCAGTTCCCTCCTCCCAGGCCGAGCCAAGCGACCCTGCATAGGCCCCAGGTTTCAAACAGCCAACTCATGCTATGAGCACAGGACCCGGTCCCACTGCCTGGATGCCTCCCAAACAGATCAAGCCAATCAACTGTCTCACCCATTCAGAGGGCCTGATCCAGTTGGTGACCCCTCAGCCATTGGTTCATAGTTCACGTGTTTCCATTTGTTTGGCTATTTGTCTGTGCTTTATCCAACCTTGAAGAACAGTCAGTGCTCTTAACCACTGAACCATTTCTCCAGCCCCTTCCATCCTGCTCATTTTTATCTATAGCCAAAGGACCCCAGGCATGTGATTCATAGTAACACTAGTTTGGAAATCTGTCTCCTCTCAGGGTGCGATCTTATGATATACAATTCTTGATCTGAAGAAAAATCTATCAATTGTTAATGGTAATCAGTATAATGGTAAATTTATTTATTAAAAAACAAATCAGGGATTACTGTGCAAACTCCCACAATGATGGCTAAATGTCTTTGTAGTATGGGTAATCACTTTGGACTTCCAAACAAACAGGAAATGATTTTCTCTTCTTTGTTCTCAATGAGTCAGGGCTTCTGTAGCTCTAAATCAATTTTCTCCTTGGCATACTACAGGACAAGGTCAACTGAAATCTGCAAAACATTCAAGAGTATTGCTAAGTGTAAATATAAAAGCAAGTTTGCTTTCACGGCCCACACACCAATCTCCTTCTGCATTTGCTCTTTGATCTCTTCTAAACCTTCATGCAACAGAGGCGGCTTTGAGCTGGATCTTTCAGATGCAGGATCCCAATGCATTCATCTCACAGATAAAATATTTCCAGCTGTTGCAGGTGTCTGAGAAGAGGGAACGGTCTTTGAGGTATCCACAGATCTGGCGGGCTGATAACTGTCTCTCTGTTGGCAAACTGAAAAAGTAAGTTAGCTTCCCAAGTTAGAGGTTAGATTGAAGAAGACAGTGGTATTTGACAAGGAAACACTATAGAGATGCCGTTGGATTTAATTTGCTTTAATGTGGCCTTTTTCTGTGGTGGTTTTATCCTCCTTCAATTAACACTATTCAGTTTTAATAAAAACGTGTTGATATAATTTGAACAAACAGCTTATAAAGGAAACCAAGGCATGTTTACATAAAGGTAGGTTATAGCCAGTGTGTTTCTCTTGACTCAGTTCTCGAAATGCTAAGTCACCTGATTGTGTCCACTAATCTCCATTCGCATCTAGAAAGCTCAAAATAGAAATGGCTCAATAGTTATTGCAATCTCTTGACCAGAAGGCTCTCAGCATTATTATAGAAAGAATGTTCTTGATACTTGCATTTGATTGCTCATTTAGGCACTTGAATTATGATAAGAATTTTCTAGAGGATAATGGTAGAGGAGCTGATGAGGAAGATTTAGCTGTGTTGGATAGTTTTATGTCAACTTGACACAAAAGCTAAAGTCATCTGAACGGAGTGAACCTCAGTTAAAAAAATGCCTCCATAAGATTGGGTTGTAGGCAAGCCTGTAAGGCATTTTTTAAATTAGCGATTAATATGGGAGGGGCCAGTTCATTGTGGATGGTGTCATTTCTTTGTTGGTGGTCCTGAGTTCTATAAGAAAGCAGGTTGAGCAAGCCATGAAGAGCAAGTCAGTAAGCAGCACCCCTCCATGGCTTCTGCATCAGCTCCTGCCTCCAGGTTCCTGTCCTGATTTCCTTCCATGGTGAACTGTGATATGGAAGTATAAGTCAAATAAACTCTTTCCTCTTTAACTTTGCTTTTTGGTCATGGTGTTTCATCACAGCAATAGAAACAATCAGGTCAAGTATTAAGTATATTAGTTATAATTCCAATCAGTACCTTCTAAAAGTATCATGATTCTATGTCTTCTAGAAGAAATACAAGGTACAAAGTAAACGTTTAAAATTTCTTCACATTCCCAATTTTCCCTCTAATGTCTCCTTCATACACTTACAAGTCAAGGAGAGGAGAGGAACCATCTTGCCAGAACCAAGATTGACTGAGTTCATCTTGAAACACTCCCACCCAGTACTCAAATCCTTTGAGCATCCGTAGGCTGTGGATGATGAAATCCTATAAAACACAAGACACAAACTGTTAATGCAGAAAACTAAATAACATCCCAAACTACTGTGCAATATAAAGTCTGATATTTTGCCTGATCAGAAATTAATGAGAATTCGAGTGTTGAAGAAAAAGAGGAGATACTCAAGTGAAGTGGGTGTACACACACACACACACACACACACACACACACACACACACACACGGTTCATTTGCTATATAGGCAGTATGGTGTGTTAAATACTACGAAAAATATATTCATCTGGTATTGAAGTTTTAATAGATTCAGAGTCTGGTAGGCAGTATGTATTAATGCAAAGTGAGTCTTATATAGACTTTTCATCATCAAAAGTAAAATTTCTCTTACTTCATTCACCCTGTGGATCATTTTCTCCCCTACTGTATTTTAATACGTGAAGTTTTAGAGATTCCAGCCACAACTCACTGTGAGCACATTTTGTTAGATGAAGCATGTTTTATTTTGTCATCAAATTTTTGGAGAAAGTAATTTTTAAATAATTACAATAATGTAGTTTAAAGCTTCTTGGTTTACTACGTTATTTTTAACATTTCCCATTTTTCTTATAAAACTGAACTTCAGTTATTGAATATTTTGTTAGGGTGAGAAACGTCTAACTAAGAATTCCACTTCAGATATTCTATTTAAGGGTAGATGGCTTCAGCAGACACTGTACTGTTTATTTGTCAGGATCCTAGTAAGCTAGGTTAGTAAATTTAACATTTCACTTATCAAATGCACATTCTTATAAGCCAATTCATTTCGTGATTTTTTATTCTTTGTAACTTTTGTTTGGTCTTGATACACAGGCCTCAAACTTGAGTTCCTCCTGTCTCAGCCTTGCATGTACTGCATTTACATGCATGTGTCATATCACTGCTTTGGAAAATTAAGGAATCCTACTTTATGAGAATCTGTAATTCATTTTAATGAGTAACAAGGTACTTTCAGAATGACGTGAAATCGTAGAAGAGTCTTTACCATTTCTTCTTTGCTGTCTATTTGAAGGAGACTGGCATCCTCCTTTAAACAAATCTCCTTACTGCCATTCCATTTTTTCTGGATTTGAAAGACGTAGTAACAACTTTTTCCATTCTGAATCCAGTTGTGTGGACAATAACTGCAGTTACTACCTTCAAAACATAAATATTTCCTTATTTGTCATCAATGCATGAAATTGGCATCCCAACTCCCTCAAAGTAACCAAATGGTACCCGTGATGTAACACCTACCCATCCAGCTGTTTTGATTTATATAATTTCTACCTGAAATAGCTCTCATAATTAGTTTTAGTTAAAGATCAACGTGGAGTTGGCTTTATCTAAATCTTTCCTCCTATATCAAAAATTAATCGAGCCTGGAACTCGCATCCAGACCAGAGGCAAGTGCCTGGGGTCATACCCTGGGAGGCTTGCCCCTAGGTCTCATCCCTGGGCACCAGCCTTTCCCAGGGAAGACCCGCCCAACGTGTCCCCAGGTTCTGGCCATCAGACAGGCCCCAGCGGGAAGTTTCCCCTTCTCGAAGACCTCTGGCAGACCTTGCAATCTACGTGCCCTGCCCCCACATCCATCCACCTGAGACACCACTACCACCACTTCCTGAGATTTAGTGACCAGCCCCCAGCTGCCATCTGGCCCAGAGCTCCCATATGACCCAGAAAGCTCTCATTTGTCCAAGAGAACACTCTAATGAGGCCCAGAGAGCTCCTATCTAGCCCAGAGAGTTCCCACCCGGCCCAGAGAAAGAGAGAGGTCTCATTGTACAAAGAGCCATCACTGGACCAAGAGTAAACTCAGGAGACGGAATCTGCCAGCTATGATTAGACCATGAGTGGCTTTCTGAGAAACAGAATCTGCCACCTCTCATTGGACCAAGAAAGGCTTCCTGAAATGCTGAATTTGTCAGCTCTGTCTGGACCAAGAGCGCTGATAAGACCAAGAATGAAACCATGAAGAGATGGGCAGACTTCAAGGCAGAAGTACATACAACAAAATAAAGAGCAATACAGCATCATCGGAACCTAGCCCTCCTCCAACAGCAAGACCTGATCATCACAAAATGGAAGAAGCAGAAGAAAGCAACCTTAAGAATAACATCATGAAAATGCTAGAGACTTTTAAAGAGGAAATCAAAAATGAAATTGAGGAAAAGACAAACAAAAATGGGAAGAATGCTATAAAAATAACTAGAGGAAAAGACAAATAAAGCAGAAGAAAACAATAAATCCCTGAAAGAAAACCATGAAAAAGCAATGAAACAGATGAGGGAAACAGTCCAAGAACTGAAAAGGGAAAGAGAAAAAATGAAGAAGACATAAACAGAGGGAATGCTGGAAATAGAAAATTTGAGTAAATGAACAGGAAACACAGATGTAAGCATAACCAACAGAATACACGCGATAGAAGAGAAGATCTCTGGTGTAGAGGATACAACAGAGGAAATGGATTCCTCAGTCAAAGAAAATACCAATGCCAAAAAAATTATAACACGAAATGTCCAAGAAATCTGGGACACCATGAAAAGACCAAACCTACAAATAATAGGGATAGAGGAAGGAGAAGAATATCAACTCAAAGGCACAGAAAATATATTCAACAAGATCATAGAAGAAAACTTTCCCAACTTAAAGAAGAAAATGCCTATGAAGATACAAGAAGCCTATAGAACACCAAACAGACTAGACCCCCCAAAAAAGTCCCCTTGCCACATAATAATTAAACAACTAAACATACAGAATAAAGAAAGAATATTAAGAGCAGCAAAGGAAAAAGGCCAAGTGACTTATAAAAGCAAACCCATCAGAATAACACCCAATTTCTCAATGGAGACTTTGAAAGCCAGAAGGACCTGGACAGATGTAATACAGACACTAAGAGACCATGGATGCCAGCCTAGACTAATATACCCAGCAAAACTTTCAATCAACATAAACGGAGTGAACAAGACATTCCAAGACAAAGCCAGATTTAAACAATATTTATCCACAAACCCAGCCCTACAGAAAGCACTAGAAGGAAAATTCCAACCTAAGGAAGTCAGATACACCCTCGAAAACACAGGCAATAGATAACACCACAGCAGTAAACCCCAAGGAAGAGAAGTACACACACATTACCACCAAAACATAACAGGAATGAACAATCACTGGCCATTAATATCCCTTAATATCAATGGACTTAATTCACCTATAAAAACACACAGGCTAACAGAATGGATATGAAAGCAGGACCCAACTTTCTGCTGCATACAAGAAACACATCTCAAATTCAAAGATAGACACTACCTCAGAATAAAAGGCTGGGAAAAGACTCTCCAATCAAATGGTCTTAAGAAGCAAGTGGGTGTAGCCATCCTAATATCTAGCAAAATAGACTTCAAACTAAAATCAATCAAAAGAGAGCAAGAAAGAAGGGCATTACATACTCACCACAGGAAAGATCCACCAAGATGAAGTTTCAATTCTGAACATTTATGCCCCAAACACAAGGGCACCCACATATGTAAAGAAACATTACTAAAGCTTAAATCACATATAAAACCCCATACATTAATAGTGGGAGACTTCAACACCCCACTTTCACCACTGGACAGATCTGCCAAATTGAAACTTAACAGAGAAATAGAGGACTTAATTGATATTATGACTCAAATGCACTTAATCAATATCTACAGAACATTCCATCCTAACAAAAAAGAATATACCTTCTTCTCAGCACCCCATGGAACCTTCTCTAAAATCAACCACATACTTGGCCACAAAGCAAATCTCAACAGATACAAAACAATTGGAATAACCTCCTGCATTCTATCAGACCACCATAGTTTAAAGTTAGATTTCAACAACAATACAAACTACAGAAAGCCTACAATCTCATGGAAACTAAATAATGCTCAACTGAATCACCAATGGGTTAAGGAAGAAATAAAGAAAGAAATTAAAGACTTCCTAGAGATCAATGAAAATGAAGACACCACATGCGCAAACTTATGGGACATTATGAAAGCAGTGCTAAGAGGGAAATTCATAGCACTAAATGCCCACATAAAGAAGTTGGAGAAATCTCACACTAGTGACTTAACAGCACACCTGAAAGCTCTAGAACAAGAAGAAGCAAAGTCACCCAGGAAGAATAGACACCAGGAAATAATCAAATTGAGAGTTGAAATCAATAAAATAGAAACAAAGAGAACAATACAAAAATTAATGAAACAAAGAGTTGGTTCTTTGAGAAAATCAACAAGATAGACAAGCCCTTATCCAAACTAACCAAAGACAGAGAGGGAGCATCCAAATTAACAAAATCAGAAATGAAAAGGGAGACATAACAACTAACATTGAGGAAATCCAGAAAATCATCAGGTCATACTTCAAAAACCTCTACTCCACAAAACTTGAAAATCTAAAAGAAATGGATAATTTTCTGGATAGGTACCACATACCTAAGTTAAATCAAGAACAGATAAACTATTTAAATAGTCCAATAACTCCTAAAGAAATAGAATCAGTCATTAAAAGTCTCCCAACCAAAAAAAAGCCCAGGACCAGATGGTTTCAGCACAGAATTCTACCAGATCTTTAAAGAAGAGTTAATACCAATACTCTTTAAATTGTTCCACACAATAGAAACAGAAGGAACATTACCAAACTCCTTCTATGTGGCTACAATTACCCTGATTCCTAAACCAAACAAAGATGCAACAAAGAAAGAAAATGACAGACCCATCTCCCTCATGAACATTGATGCAAAAATACTCAATGAAATACTGGCAAACAGACTCCAAGAACACATCAAAACAATTATCCACCATGATCAAGTAGGCTTTATCCCAGGGATGCAAGGGTGGTTCAACATACGAAAGTCCGACAATGTAATACACCACATAAACAAACTGAAAGAAAAAAACCACAAGATCATCTCACTAGATGCTGAAAAGGCATTTGACAAAATCCAACACCCCTTCATGGTAAAGGTCTTGGAGCAATCAGGAATACAGAGAACATACCTAAGCATAATAAAGGCAATTTACAGCAAGCCAACAACCAACATCAAATTAAATGGAGAGAAACTCAAAGTGATTCCACTAAAATCAAGAACAAGGCAAGGCTGTCTGCTCTCCCCATACTTATTCAATATAGTACTTGAATTTCTAGCCAGAGCAATAAGACAACATAAGGAGATTAAGGGGATACAAATTGGAAAAGAAGAAGTCAAGCTTTCGCTATTTGCAGATGATGTGATAGTATACATGAGTGACCCCAAAAATTCGACCAAGGAACTTATACAGCTTATAAACACCTTCAGCAACATAGCAGGATACAAGATCAACTCAAAAAAATCAGTAGCCCTCCTATATACAATTGACAAACAGGCTGAGAAGGAAATCAGAGATACATCACCCTTTACAATAGCCACAAATGATATAAAATACCTTGGGGTAACTCTAACCAAGCAAGTGAAGGACCTATATGACAAGAACTTTAAGTCCCTGAAAAAAGAAATTAAAGAAGATGTCAGAAAATAGAAAGATTTCCCATGCTCATGGATAGGAAGGATTAACATAGTAAAAATGGCAATCTTACCAAAAGCAATCTACAGATTCAATGCAATCCCTGTCAAAATACCAACACAACTGTTCACAGACCTGGAAAGAATAATACTCAACTTCATATGAAAAAACAAAAAACCCAGGATAACCAAAAGAATCCTATACAATAAAAACAACCTCTGAAGGCATTACGATCCCTGACCTCAAGCTCTACTATAGAGCTACAGTAATAAAAACAGCTTGGTACTGGCATAAAAACCGACATGTGGACCAATGGAATCGAATTGAAGACCCTGACATTAATCCGCACACCTATGAACATATAATTTTGACAAAGAAGCCAAAACTGTACAATGGAAAAAAGAAAGCATCTTCAACAAATGGTGCTGGCATAACTGGATGTCAACATGTAGAAGGCTGCAAATAGATCCATACCTGTCACCGTGCACAAAACTTAAGTCCAAGTGGATCAAAGACCTCAACATAAATCCAGTTACTCTGAACCTGATAGAAGAGAAAGTAGGAAGTAGTCTTGAACTCATTGGCATAGGAGATCACTTCCTAAATAAAATACCAGTAGCATAG